TTATCCCGCAGTTGTCACCAACGTAGTATTAATAAGCCCAGCAGAACTTTACATTCATATTTTGTCACCGGTGGAAGCCTAATTGAGCTGGAGCAAACGTGCTAATGATACTCCTTTTCCATTTCTGGCTTCCTCCTTCTTTGTGGAGGAATTTAAATTTCAGTTAGAGTTAAAAGCTAAAGGATATTTATGTAAACTGAAAACTAAACCAAGCATGAAGATAAGAGGAAAACTAGAAAGTCAGTTAGCATTGTAGGTCCGTAGTAAGTTAGGTGTTACAGTGAGATTGAGCTCTTTTGTGAGCGCTGCTGGTTTTTGTTGTGTGGTCTTCAAGAGCTGTACAAAGGGTTGCGCCAAAAGTTTGTATTTCAACTGGCACTTCAAGATAGGAGTCATACAAGATTAGGAATACTTTTTTTCTTTCCAAAACTGAAAAAGCTGCTGTATCAGTCTGTGGGCTTCACATTATACCTTTGAAAAGGCTTCAGAAATGCAGGAAATGTTGGATTTCTAGTAATTGCAAATCATTTACGGTATTAAATGGCGATATCAAAACAGGATAATGAAAGAGATTCTGCCCTAGCTTTGTGCTTAGGGCTGTTTTTGGAGGAGTTATTTGGTTTTTTTTGAACAAAATTTGTACATGCAAGATTGACATTTGAATATTCTGTGTATTCTTGATGGGTTTTATCCTTATTTCTTTTTTATTTTTTTCAAAATGATAACTGCTGTAGTTAATTAGTGAAAAAAAAAAAAGTAAAAGCCTCAACAGTAAAAGAAGGATCTGTACTTCTTACGAAGTGCGTTAACTATAAAGCATAGAAACCAGAAAAGAAATGAGAGATAATAGTATGATAAAGATGAAGAATGTTGGGTTTTCCGTCTTCTGATTGCTGCTCTTCTGTGATACGGTATTTAACTATTTGTCCGTTGGTCCTGAATTACTGTACTGCAACTCAAATCACATTCTTGTTTCACTGATGTCCTGTTTGCAGCTGCATTTTCATTGTTGGTGCTTCACTTCATGCCTTTTAAATTTAGGGTTTTCTTTTCCCTATTCTACAGTACAAGTAATGTACCAAGCCTTTTCTTTTACATGAAATATGTTAGCAATTACAAAGCTCTTCAGTGAGGTGGATTTGTGAAGTACATATTATGTATATCATAATTATTATGTGTTGGAAAGTTAGATGCTTCCGGTTGCTCCAGCTTTCTTTTACTGTGATGTCATTGGGGGATTCATCAATAATGGCCCCAATTCTCATTTACCGTATATAAATTTTAAGTGATATGCAAATAAATGCTTAATTCTCAAAAATAATCCTTTTATATGTTAAGCACATAATAGATAAAATGCACACAGCTATACTTTAATCATCCAGCATGACAAGTGAGTAATAATGTCAAAGACTAATTTATGTGTAGAATAGGTACTACATCAAAAGCAGCATTAATTCTTCGTTTTTTTTTAAGTACACATAAAATGCATTGAAAAACTGTACAGTTAGTTAGGAGCCACTAGAAGAAGTTTTAAAGGAAGTGCTTTTTAGTTTGATTCTGCTTTCTGATATTCACCTTTGAAGTTGGTAGTTTTTCTGCCTCTCAATTGGGAAGGCAGTTCCACATGTTAAATGCTTCTGAATCAACATTTACATGGTCCAGCCCTGTCCATTCCCCTCCCTGCTCCTGTATTTCCACTTTTTCCTACGTGCCCGTCCTGATACTGACCTAGTTCCGCAGGGGGCTAGTCTAGAGCTAGGGCAGCTGGCTCCACCTCAGCTGGTCGGCCATGCATTTAGGAAGACGGGAGGGGGAAGTGTTTTTAGATAGCTCAGCATCCTCAGTCAGCTACCATGTGGTCACCTTTAGTGGAGCTCCACAGCCTTTATCACCTTAAAATAAAAATGTTTTACTATAAAGCCATATTGTTGTAGAGTCATATAACATAGATTTTATTAAAATACTAATTGAAATACTGTTTTAAGGAATTTGAAGTTTACAGTAATGTATTAACAGCTTAAAATTTTGTCAGCCATCTACGCTTAAGACAAGTAAGATTAGATTAACTTATTGCAATAGTAGGACTGTATCTTATTTCTCTGTTATCTTTAAATTCTGCTGAACAGTATGTAAAAACCTTCCGATATTCATAAATGGATATCTACAACTCTGTTAGAAAAAAATTTGGAGGGTGAATGCAGGAATAGATTGAGAACTATGTGAGCTTGAGGAGAGCCCTTCAGACTCCTTAGGTCTTCAGGATTTTTCTTGGCCTTTTGGGGATGATATTTTTACAGATAAACTTTATTTTCTTGAGTTACAGCACACTTTTAACAGTTACAGTTATATCTTACTACTTTATTTTTTAACAATTGGATTTTTAAATAAATGTTACACAGAATTGGAGAAAAAAATGCACCTAAAAACATGGACCTGTGACAAAAATTACCTAAAACTGAACTGTAGGTTCTGGCCAAAGGAAGCAAAGAAACTGTGCGCTTCTAATATCATTTTTAGTTGCAGGGGCAAAAATATTCATGTTCATGTATATTTACCTTCTGCTCATTCTTTTTAATCAAATCTTACTTTTACAGGTATATGCCATTTAAGCAGAACAATAAAATCTTTGTTATGTGATTGCTCCTTGTCCAATTCTGTGAGAGTTGCATCCTTTTTCCTGCCCTATAGCTTCATTATTCTTCAAAGCTGCTTAGGTTGGTCTTGTCAATACACTGCAGCGTTACTGAACTTTAATTACCGAGACTAACAAATTGAGTCATCTCCTTACCAAGATGAATCTTGGTGATTTAAGTAGAATCAAACATTTTTATATTCTCCTCTGCTATGTAGTTTAATTAAAGGGAAACAACCTTGTCTTTATCCTTTTATAACTAACCAAGAGCAAGAGAAGAGTTAATATTTGAAGGTTCTTTGTCCTCATCATTTATTGAAAACCTTCTAAAATGACTTTAGGCTGAAATTTCTGAAGAAATGTGATTAGAATATTATGCCTTAATTTAAATTTCATATTTCACAAAATGCCTACATTTCTGCACCTTAATTCTGTTCTAGCAATGCCTTCAATGTTTCCATAGTTTATAATTTGCAAATTAAACAGTTTCCCCATTTTAACTTTCAAAACAGCCTGCAGTCTAAATACTTTTTATCCTAGTGCTTGTAAGCAAAAAATTAAACTGAGTAACCTGTTTTAATTGTTCTGCCTGAATGATGCAGAAGAAAACAGCTTTAAAAGTTGGTGCTAAATTCAGAGCCACCAAATTCCCCAGTTGCTTAGTTAAGTTATCACTGAATACAGAAATTATCTGCCCATCACTTTGGATGCTGTCTTACTGGTTTTCTGCCACCCAGGCTACTCAGCATCCTGAACTGGTTATACTTGATAACAGGGCTGCTGTGATAATTTGGGAAGGGTTTACCTGTGAGGAGAGATGATTCATGAGACAGATGGCATATAGGGAGTCAGTGAAGGTGACAGTCTGGCTTTATCATCAGGAGACGTTTGGGGATGTCTGATACATTCATTGCTCCCCTTCCCCCTTCTAACCCTGCTTTCCGTTCCCAGCTGCCTTACCAACATTTCCCTTCCTCAGTACTGACTTTTATTTGGGTGGCGGTGGTGGTGAGAAAGTCGCACAACCGATCTCCCGACGGTTGCTGAAGCTAACTGGGACCTAGAAAACTTAATAATACACAGATTTATGTGCTGTGTGCCTAGAAAGAAGTTCAGTTTCATAGAAATAGAATTGGGCAGACTGAGAAAACATGGGTAAAGTGTGATAAAACATTGAGGCTGTGGTCAGTAGTATTTTGGGGAATGAAAAAGGGATTCGATGACTGTGGTGGAAGATCTAATTTTTGCGTTTTAACTAAGGAGACTGTCAAGCAAGTTTGCAAAATCCACTCAAAATATTAATATGAAGCTACTCAGAACTGCGTAAGCTGAGGGGCACCTTGAAAAGGTGAATTTTGTGTTACAGTCTGAACCTTGGTTTCATAACCTGGAAAAGCAGATTCCCTGAAATTCTCCAGGGCTAGGGCCCAGCATCTCTCTAGCAAGTCTAGTTTGAGGTAGCTGTCATAGTAATCAGGACTTGCATTAACGGCTGCAGTGCTGCAACAATTCTAGCTTCTCTTGGCTGTCTGCATCCAGATGCTTGTCTGGTCTTCCTCCTCAGCCCATGCAAGGGAGCTTGTGGTAGCTTATCTGCAGCAGCAGGGCAGTTGACTTGCATATACGCTAGGCAGTGCTGCAGGTCAAAACGTGAGTGTGGGCATTTCTCCCAGAGCAGATAACGAGCAGTAAATTGATGTTCCCTTATATGTTCTTTGTGTGTCAGAATTCTAGATGCAAATAGAGGTTGCTTGTTTAAACTCATAACATGCATGTGATTACTAAAAGTTTTGGAGATACACGGATTAAAGATGCTAGAAGAACTTTTTTGAAAACCTTTATATTACTCAGATTTGCTTAATTCTGTAGGCCTTGGATTGAATAGCTGTTTGATTAGTAAACTTTCCAATGATACCTTTAAATACACATTAACATATTACATGTGAAGTCGTGACTGTCCTTAATGCCCTGCTGACAGCACACTAGTTTAAAACTAGTTCAAAAAAATAAATTAGTTTGTGTGGTAGATTTGTGCAAGTAGGTTTACGTAAAAAGTAATTTGCTTACCAGGAAAACATGGTGATTGAACAAATTACTAAGTACTTGTTCTTCTAAATGTATTAGTTTATTATCAGATACACAATTTAAAACAGTCTATATTACAGGTCAAAATTAAAATGTTTTAACAAAGATGTTCTTGAAACAAAAGACCCAAGTTAGAGGAATGATTACAAACATGAAGGAGTTTTAAAAGGTCTGGTTTATCTTGGCCTAACTTTTCACATGTAAAAAACACAATGTATCTTTTGCAAACAGGATTTCTGATTTTTGCAGATATAAAGCTGACAGTTGTTTTTCTCTTTGACAGATGGGGATGGACAAAGTGAACATTTATTACCAGTCTGTGAAGATCAGAAATGTCAAAAAAGTGCCATCTACTTATCTAAGCTAGGACTGGATCAGGTATGGTGAGTTTGGCATTGTAAATTTACAGGAAAATATGAGAAAGGAAAATGATTTTTCAGGGTACTGAGAAAAATAAACCTTCTCACTTGTAATGATAGAATATAAGAGAGCTTTTCTTTTGATCTATCTAAATTGTTTTCGGTGGAAAAGATTACATATGTCAGATTACCATCGATAATTCTACTTGAGAAAACTATAGACACTGCTTAATGAGTCTTTTTCTGCAACGCAAAGTGTTGCATTCTAAGCAGCATAGCTGCCCTAGCACTACGTGAAAAATATAAGTTTGTGATGAAGAGTTGGAAAGAGATTTGGTGAATACAAATAAGCTTTGACTTAGTTTAAATTAGGGAATTGTTTTATAGTTTTAAAAAACAGGAAAAAAATGGAGTATCTGTCAAGGTTTTCCTAGTCCACGCATCTCACCCCCCATTTCCTCTATACCTTTGATAGTTATAAATTAAATATGTTTTCCAAGTACCAAGTTTCTGGGTCAAATACCATTTTTCAGCATTTCACATTTAAAAAAATTTTTTTTTTCTAACTGTAAGGATGTATTTCCATTCAGGGATACGAAGACTAACTTATACTATCTATCTTCTATCTATATATACTATCTTCTATATAACTTATACTATATATCTTCAGAGTTACAATTTAACTACTTCCGCATCTTCTGTTGAAGAAACTTTTACTTGTTTCGAGAGACATGGTCATCATTTATGAAATAGACTAGTAGATACTCATGTATTTTAAAGCATGTGCTAATCTATTTAACTCTTTACAGTGCCCTGCATTATTATGAAGTTATACTTTAAAACAAGTTAACTGAAGAACTATTTGATGTTTTAATAAGTGTTTTAATAAATTCATATTCAACAACTTGAACCTAAAGCTAAAGGTGATGTGAAAAGCTATTGCTTATAATAGACAGTTGCACCCACAAAAACATATAATGCATACCATATATGTTTCTAATCTTCTTATGAATTGCTGATTATTCCTTTAGTGACAAATGAAAAGTAGAAAATTTAGCACAAAAAGTGTTCTGTCTGATCTGTATTTCAGAATTTATGGGTAAAAGTATTATATGCCCAAGGAACGGCACATACTTTGGTAAGGTGCTTGTTATGAGGGTCTGCGGCCCATGTTTATGCTGAGAATCTTTTGTTTTAGAGAGTCAGAATTTCTAGAGCACAGAGTATAGCATACTTCTCTGCTAGCAAGAAAAATCACTCTGTATTGGAAAGCAAAGCACACAGTTACCAGGAAGTCAAGGCAGTATGAATAGGGTAGAATATACCAGCCGCGTAAGAAAGAATAAGTAGCTCTAGATTTGGTAATAAATCTCTTTCAGCCTCTATTTTTAAAAATACGTGTTTTCCTAGGCATGTTGATTTTCACATTGATTGCCTCTATTCTGTATTCACAAAGAATGTATTGAAGCGTTGCTGGATACACAGTGTTACGATAGGGTTTGATTTATATGTCATGGCCTGTGTGTAAACCAAACAGATGCTTAATTTATGATATTTACATTACTTTCTGGTCAAAGGAGGGAACGCTGACTTTTGTTAAGCATATCTTGTTCATTATCTCACTGTCACTTGCTACTTACATCTCACTTTTGAATAAATAGGGAAGAACTTAGCATGAGCGCTCTCATGTCTTACGACATCTGTCCTTTCAGTAAAGCTGTACATTTAATTCCTTACTCTTGATAATGTATGAAGTAAAAGACATCTGAGTTTTTCTACTCAAGTAAATTCTCAGTGAAAGTAAGTTCATTGTGAAAATCAACCACGCGCGAACCTCATGTAGCATTGTAAGATATGATAGCGTAGTTTGTCTTTAGTCCAATGCCATCTGTTGTTCATGGCGCATTTCTAGAAGGAACCGATGCCGTAATGGTAGAGGAAGGTGTGGGTCAATTGACATAATTTCAGTATGTTGCCAAAGACAAGCCTTTTATTTTAACCTGCTTTGAAGTGACATTGTATGTAGACAGTTTTTCTGTTCCTTCACTATGCCAAATCTAAAAGATTCTCATCCTGCTAGAAGAAAGTACTAAAAAGTATTGAGTCACCTAGAAACTTTATAACAATTTTCCCTGCATATTTTTTAAATGATATTTTAATTAAAAATGACAATATCAAATGGCATTCACTTATTCTGGCCTTACTTTTTTAAGGATTATATTTAGCACGTCCTTCTCGTGTACTCTTAGACTGCTCTAGAAGAGGTAGAGTTGTTTCTTGGAAGGCATTTATCTTTTCTATTCTGAAATAGTGCAAAATAGCAATTTCTTCATTCAAGTGACTGCAGTTTCTTCTGTACGTTGTACGTTTCCTTCAGATAGAAGGAACCTGCCTTCAGGAGATTCAGACTCCTCACTGACCATATTCATTTGAAAGTGGTATGGTTTTTTTTTTCATTTAATTTGATCATCTGTGAAATCAAATTACCTAACTTCTGAGCTTTGATTAAATAAGTTAATCTTCCTGAGAGATGATAAACTTCATGTGAAAATAGGCTGCAACCAATTTCTGTTTTCATTTGATCAGTTTAACAATTAGAAGGAAACAATAATGAGCAATGGTGGGGCACAAGGTGTTTCAGCAAGGCAACGGATCCCCCGTGGAACAGCTAGGTATTTAGACAGAATGTACAGGAAATGGAGAGATTGGAGTCTAATATGGGAAAAGTTGTTGATGTTACGTATCCATTATCTCTGTTCACTTTTTGGTGTAGAGATTTGTTTTGGTGGGTGAAACCAAATAGTTGCATGATGGTGTATGGTGCATGGCCATGAAATGCATAGCAGTCAGGAATGTGCATAATAGAATTTGCAGTTTTAAACAAAAAACTGTGCTGCGGAGGGGCGGTCGGGGGGATGTCAGGTATGGATATGTGTTAGAAAGCTTTGGACTTGTTGTTCTGGTGGGATCTTGTTTTGTTTGATGTCTGTCGGTCTGCAGTACGTTTACTTCTTATGGTATCTTTGGCACGGCAGGGTGGTTACTTGAAAGTGAAGCAGATCTAAGAGAATTATTTTGAGGATTAACTTCTTTCAGCATAAGTTTTAATTTATTTAATGATTTAATTTTTGTAAGTATAAGATATTAGTCTCAGCTGTTTTCTTTCTTTGGATGATGAGGCCAAAGCAAAGGCCAAAGAAGAACATCTGAGTGATTTAAGGAGATACAGTCCTACTAAAACTTTTTTTAAAAAGTGAATGTTTCCATAGCAACAAAAGAATTGCCATCAGGCCTGAAATAGAATCCCATATGCTGTTTCTGCTTGTGGCTGGTGTTAGGTGAATTTAAAGACATTGGAGGTGTCCCATGGTATAGCTATAAACTAATCTGCTAGTTGGTTTAGATCTCATCTAGATTCTGAAAGTCAGATTGAGTTCTCCCCAAGTCTTGTTTTAAAGTCCCCGGTAATGTTTATTGTACCAACTCTGGATATTCTGGTGTTCTTAGAGATGGCTAATCTTTTAATTCTTCCGAGTATGGTTTTTTCCTTTCATTTGCTTCCCGAGGTTAACAGTATCATTTTAGTCTCTTAACTTGAGACTTTCTTTGTGTGCTTGATGATCGTTATAACCTGCCTTTGTCAATAGAAAGGTTACAGTTACCGCTGTCTTCCTCTTACAGAGCTAGGAACTCTGAAGCGCAGAGCCTGGCAGTGCAGCCTACAGCAAACCACGGGTCTCTGGGGCATCCTTCTCTAGGCTAGCAATGTATCCGGCAGCACTGCTGAGCTGTAGGAGCTGTAGTTGGTCATTGCAAGCAGGTTTTCATAATTCCTCTGTAATATCTTAAAAAAGGGGGCTGGGGGGGAAATTGCTGTTACTGTAATTTTCATAAATCCCATATTCTGCAAGTCCGCCCATCATTGCTGGGTTATTAGTCTTTCTCAGAACATCTGTGTGGCTCTTAGCCATATTCCAGCCTGGGAAGAAAAAAAAAAAAAGCAATTTTTCTTCTTTTTGGTTACTCTTTTCTGTGTTGTTAAACCAATATCAGGCTTCTTTTGGGCTTTGATCATCCACCATAAGTTAACGGTGTAATGTAATCTACTTAGCTTATTTTTATGAGAGAGTAGCTACTCAACCATATATGGAATTCAGGTGACCTTCATATGCCCTGAAAACTTAACACATCCTGAAGCTGCTGCATTTATTCCCGTGCAGCTCAGCTGTAATGTGCAGGTGCAGTAGAGAGGGATCACGTGGGGAAAAGGCCTTCTGTGGCTGTGGCCAGTTCTTTCAGGCCACTCTTGACAGTCATCTGTCTTTAGGATGCTCTGGTGCTTGTGTTAGGAAGGACTGGAGACCCTGGCACTGGCAGAAAAGGTGTTGGGCAAGAGCGGGCTACCCGTTTCTGAATGCCGTGTGGCTCACAGCCTGCTCCCTGCCTCAGTTAAGCGCTCTGCAAGCAGGGCAACAAACATGAAGTTTAAAGTAATTGTCTGGATTATCAAATACAAAAGCGGATTTGTAATATTGACAAACATATTTCATTTTTTGCTTTCTATACTGAAATATGTGTCCTGAGGCACACAAACAATTAATCTTGCATGCTCTGCATCGCACAGTACCGCTATTTATAATAGAAACAAGCAGAATCTAAGTTTCACTGAAAACATGGATTACTTTGTGAACTTAAAACTGTCAGAGTAAATTCCATGTGATGCCAGAATCTGTTCTGGTCACAGATGAGACAAGACTGCTGTTCTGCAATGTTCTCTAACTGTTATACAAAAGCCCACAACTGGTTCACTAAGATATATAAATTTTACTCTGTGGAGTGCACAGGGATGATGCTTAGTAATAGCAGGCGATGTTTCTGTTTTGCTCACCTATTGTTTATATATCTACATTTCATTGTAGATCTCTTGGTTGTGTGATTGTTTTTATGAATCACTTTTTGAGTAGAGTAAAAACAGAATGCAAATTTAGATTTACTCCTAAAAATTCATTTTAAATTTAGTTTCTTTAAAATTATGTTACCATATATGGGAATATTTAGAAAGTATATGATGGATATAATTGGATATTATTGCAATGACTCTTTGTGTGAATGACACCATGTAAAGTAAAAACCGTATTATACTTCATGGTTCTGATTCCAATCAGTGTTTTTCAGAATTACAGTATTTTGCAACAATAGTGTTTATCTGTCTTCTGACTGACAAATAAGTGGTAGGAAATCTATCTCTCTGAAAAATTTCTGTCAGACTGAGAGCCTATTTCTTTCTTCCCATTTTTTCCCTTAGATTTTTCAAACCTTCAGTAGCTAACAGTAGGCATAAAAATGATGAAAAATAAAAGGATGAAGTATGTTTAATTTCAACTTTGGGTTTTCAGGCATTAGATAATAAACATTAGTGTTGTAGATCTTCTTAGCAGTTCGAATGTTGTAACTCATACAAGCAGGCATTCAGGATATGCAGCGCCTGGCAGAAGCGTTTGAGACTTCTCAGCTGTCTGTGAGATCCAAACAGAGCTGATCTTAGCGCATGTTTGCAGGCTGCTGTAACAGGTATGTGGTTGTATGTAATCTCAAGGGACCAGACAAAGTGTCACGCACATTGCCCCGTGGCAGGAACGTTGTTGATTACCGGATTGTGTTAATTGAGGGTCTCCACATCAAGAAACAATGCTGTCAAGCACTCCCATAGCAAAAAACTCTCTCTTTGATAGTCGGCCTCATAGTCCTTTTGAACTTCTGGAGCGATGTAAAAAGTAATCCTGAATTATAGGGAAGAGGTTTTACAGGGTGGCAGTGTAATTTATAATCAGGAACTGTGTTACTGCTTTGTGCAAGGATCTTATTCTCATTCCCGAAATAGCTAAATTAAGGCTTGGATGAGAGACATTTAACATGGTGTTAAGTGTTGTTGGGGTTGGTAATAGAGATCCTTTAGGATGGCACCCTTCTATCCTTTTGAAGGCATTGTCTGCTCGTTGATATATAAAATTACTTCTGGCTTTAAAAACGCCACTGATTTTTTCTGTAGCATTGAAATGTTAACCCTGGTACTTCAGCTTCATACCAACTTGTGAAATTAGTTTGATTTTAATTAAGATAAATTCCTATTTAGCACCTCTGAAGCACTTTGGAAAGTAAGTGCAGATATATTTTATTTCTTGTCCTGAGAAATTACATTCCGCATTTCCTTTATACTTTCAAATTGATATTGCAATAGTCACTTCTTATCCAGCAGTTCAGAATCTTGTGCTGCTGGTTGGGATTTGGGAGACGGGGACTGAAGCTCTTGAACTTCTAAATATCCATAAATCATAGAATCGTTCAAGTCGAAAAGGACCTCAGGAGGTCCAATTCCCTGCTTTAAGCAAGGTCAACACTGAATTCAGACCATTGTTGTTTAGGATTTTTTTGTTGTTAAGGATTTTGAAGACCCTCAAGGATAAGTATTCTGCAGTCTCTCTAGGCCCCTCTCCCAGTGCTTAATTACCCTCATAGTGATTTTTTTTCCCCCCTTTATATCCGGTTAGAACTTCCCTTGTTTCAATCTGTGACCATGATTCCATGTTCTTCTGCCACGCATCTCACACATCTTAGTAGAGCCCTTGGCTCCATCTTCTCAGTTACTTCACTAGGGTACTAGAAGGCTGCTATTAGGTCCCCCGCAAGCCTTCTGTTCTCTCCTCTTCTTCTGTATCCCTCAGCCCCTCCTTGTAGTTGATCAGCAACAGCCTGACCATCTCAGTGCCTCTCCACTGGACTTGCTGGAGCTTATCAACATCTTTCTTGTACTGTGGGGCCCAAAACTGGACACAGTACCCAGATGCAGATTAACAAGAGCAGAATAAAGAGGAATAATCACTTGCCTCAATGAGCAGGAGCATCGCCAACAGATACAGTGCAGTATGCTGCTGGCTTTCATTGCTTTCAAGGTGCACGCTGACTCAGATTTGACCTACTGGCCACCAGGACGCCCAGTTCGTTCTTAGCAGAGCTGCTCCCCAGCTGATCAGTCTCCAGGCTGTACCATTGCAGGGGTTTCCTCCGAAGTGCGTGACTTTGCATTTGTCCTTGCTGACTTTCCTGAGGTTTCTGTTTGCTCATTTTTGCCTTTCTAGGTCCCCTCTGAATGGCAGTCCTGTCCTCAAGCATGCTGTTTGCAGCCCTCACTCTGGGGTTGTCCACAGGTTTAATGAGGGTGCATCACAACCTCTCCTCCAGGCCTATTGCTTGCAATTCCAAGAAAAGCAAAGGGACTCAGGAGCTCAAGGCCTGATGGCTTGAGTTTGCCTACATTTAAAAATTAATACAGATTCCAGGCAAGTGTGAACTTCAGTGAAGCTGTTCCAAAATAACCATACACAGGACATACTCCAGAACACAAGTGCTTTATTCTTATAACCTTATCTGTTTATTCTGTTCTGGAATAACTTACTGCATAGGAAAGACTTCACGTTAGATCTTTCATTTGGTGATGTAGTTAGGAAATAATCCTTGTTTTCTAATGTTACGTCCTCTTTGGAAGTTTGTAAATGATTAAGAATCCTGATGCAGCATAGAATAGTCAACTGTTTTAAATAGAGTTAGATATTTTTGATTAAATTAATTTCCTTACCTAGCTGTTCTTTTTGTTTTATTTTACAGTGGATTCCAGTCTTGCAAGACTTCAGAAATAAAGACACACTCTGGGGCTTCGTACCATATCAAAGTGACAGACCTTCAACAGCAGATTCATTTCCAATTACACTTCACATTGGAGATTACAATATGGATGGCTACCCAGATGCTCTTGCTATACTAAAGAACACATCTGGAAGGTAGAGTATTTATAAATCTAGAAATAAAGATTATCAAATGGATATTCAAGCATCAGTCATACAAATGATTAATTTTAGGGTATCTTGCTCATCTTTGTCAAGTGAACAAGGTCTTTGATCTCTGCTAAATGTTTCTCTTTTTAAAAAGCTATGCATTTAAATGGTATATTCAGAATGCAAAATTATATAGGCTCAGACTGTGATTCCTAGTGGAGAATTGCCTAGAGGCATATGAAGTACTATTTTGGGCTCTTCTTGATCACAGGAGCTGGTTCTCCCTTTCCCAACCACCCAGTGATTTTTATATTGTCCAGCTGTAATTGAATAAACTTTTTTCCTGAGAAAAACATTAGCTTTAAACTAGGATAACAGTTATGCATGGGGAAAAAATAGGAAAAACTCTGGGAAAGAATGCAGGTTATTTGTGAATACGTACCATTTTTTCCTTACCTTGCATCTCTATAATACAGTAATTCCTCCTACTCATGAGATGCAGTGACACGTGCTTTACCAGCTCCTCAGTTTTTCTGGTTAGCACTGAATAGTGAATTCATTTTTGGGATGCATGTAAAAGTTTACTGCAGGTGTGCAGATTTTGCGTGCAAAGGCTCCTCTTGCCATTATTTCACTTTAGGTGTAGAAGTTCAGAATATTTTATCCTGTATGTTGTCCATGTCACAACTATTAGTTTCTTCCCTTTTAGCTTTATTTTCCTTCTGTTTTTTCCAATACTTTTCCTTCTTTTTTTATTTGCAATTGTTCAGTTTTCTGTTTTAATCTTTATCCAACTTTTTTCTTGCCTACAAAATATGTTTATTTTCTTCCCTTTGAGTGCCTCCAACTCAGTTCTTCTATTTACACTGCACTATTGAACTGTACCTTGGTGAAAGCCATTTCTTTTTCTAGTGACCGTACATTTATTGGGTTCCTTGCTCTGTGAATACCCCATATGTTTGTTCTTTTCCTGATTTCATTTTGATTTCAAGGAGTTTAGTGAGGATACTTTGTGGACTTTTTATTACCTTTCCTTGTTTTTTGCTCCTTTTTGTTTATTCATCTGGATATTTCATCTGCTTTGTTGTCATCAGAAGAAAATGGCAGCACCTTTCAGTGCTACTGCGTTTTGGTCTTGATCAGCTGGAGTCTCTGAAAGTTTTTGAGCAGCCTTGCCACTTGCTTCCTTCTATGCAAGGTGAAGCAACCAGCCATTTAAAGATGAAATCTTGAGCTTTATAAATGGTTATCTAATGTCACATATGCTTAAGTGATCAGAACATAACTCAGCCAGTTTGTTCTGTGACTTTCACAGGAATGGATGTCCGGTTCACAGTAGCTGGGATTCACCTGGCATTAACTGGTTCATAATCGTTCATGATTTACTGTAGCTGAGAGAGTAAAATTAGGTTGTGTTCATGGATGTTTCTAGAAATCAATTTAGCCTTTTTGTCTTTGCGACTTCTAGTGTATATTAAAAAGGGATGTTTGTGTCAATGGCAAGGAGTTTCTGTTTTTGCAAGCCACAGAGAAGGCGAATCTCTTTTGAGGAGCACCTGCAGTAAAGCCTTTGTCTGTCCTGAAGTCTTCCAACTTTAACTTATTTACATTTGCTGTCATAATCTCACTACTTCTCTGCAAACACTGAATTACTCAAAACTTATTATCCAGGTCACAGCCAGGAATTACGCATGCTGTCACTGGAATAGATGCCATAGTGTTTAACTTCTTAGAAGAGACATAAACTATTACATTTCTTAGTGCAAACCTTCTGTTCTTTTTCTGCATTGTTTGTCTTCCCTACGCTTCGTCTTGCCCCAGTCTGGTGTTAGGCAGGTGAGAGCATGTATACTATTAAACCTCAAGGAATTAGCAATTCACATAACAGGTGACCAGATTAGGCGCAGGCCTGTGTTGTGCTGCACGTACCACTTGGCCACAGGATGAATTTAGGCTGCTAATCATAAAGGAGAAGCCTGTAAGGCAGCTCCTACTTGGCCCTGGCTATTACACCACCTTGTCTTTTTCTTGAACTGAAGCGGCATGTTCTCATGCGAACATCCTTTTGCTTGACAGTAAAAATGATGAATAGGTTGTTTTACTTGTAAGAAAATCCTTTAAGAGCTCTAAAGACCATAATGCTGGTGACCCGCAGAACAGGTAGGATCTGCGCACTGTGCCGTAGCCGGACTAGGGATCAGTCCAATGCTGCGCAACTTGGGAGTTCCCAGCATCTGAAAGGACATGAGATTATCTGTGCTATTCCCCTTTTTTCTTCTTGTGTCATCTCCAATAAAAGGTATTTTAATCAATACCTTATGGAGTCTGAGTGCCTTTCTTACTGGGATCAATAATGAACGTTTGCACAGTGTACTACAGGGCAAAATAAGTCAAGTCTTTTATACAGATTGATTTAGTATCTGCCTCTGAATGGTATTTCAGATGAGCTTGGGTGCAAGTTCATAGCTGGAATTAATACTCAGTGAAGATAAGAACAAAGAGCTCACATTGGTGCTTAAAACAGTATATAGACAGAATTTAGATGCTTACATCCGAAAAATCAGTCCAGGTCCTCTATGGTTGTCAACACCTGAGTCACCCATGGACATTTTGGGGTTAAAGAAATCTTTAGATACTGATACATCCCTTTTTAAAAAAAAAAAAAAAAAAGACCCAGTTGGAAGAGCTACATGCTTGCATTCTGCCTAGGCGATGTTGTGATTCAGAGACAAGGCAGTGAGCAGCTGAGCTCTGCCACCGTGCCTCTGAGCTTTCATGTAATTAGCACAGCAGCTGTTTTGATTCAAACACGGCAGAGGAGAAGGAGGTGATGCTGCTGCTGCCCAGACCTTGCACAGGTGAAACTGGAGCGCTCAGGCCCTGAATGTCCGGCTTTTGTACTTGGTAGCCTTTGTTCTCAGGTGGAAGTTTGTTTGCATCTTCTGTTCAGCAGTCCTTGAATAAAGACTGTAAATAGTCTAGAGAGCAGACTAGAACCAAGGTCTTTCCTTTTCCACTGAATTACTGTAATATCTAAATTACACAGTTGTTCTCTTTGTGCTGAAGCCCACAAATCCTGTGTTTTCTGCTGTACTGTAGGCTATCTTTGGTGTCTGCATCCTGATAGCTAGCACATTTTAGAGGACTTTATGAAGGTATATGAACTTCAGAAGCTTTTTATTTTAAAGTTATTTTATCATTCAAAATTATTAGGAGCCTCCCTCCTGTTTGGCATATAATTATGACAATGTAATAATATCTAAAAGCTTTATATGGTTTATAAATACTTATTCCTATGAAAGCCTAGTTGCAACGAATTACTGTGATACACGTGTTTTAATTCTCCTTCCTTCTGAACTTGTTTGTTCAATTGGGTGTGACTTAAACTTATTTGGAAACTTGACTTCAAAGTTATACATAGACAGGCGTAAGGACTGAAAGTACTGGCCGATGATTTGACAGGGGAGTTCAGAGAGCTGAGGAAGCCTAGGAGGGAAAAAAAGAGGAGCTCTAAACTAAGAGTTAAGTATGTTGCAAGTTAACACTGTATTTTTCTGGCATTATTTGTAGAAGCGTAATAGAAACAGACTCTTAGTACTTTTAATGGGAACGAAAATCACATTTTTAACACCTACTTTCACATGTCACTTTCACAATAATATTAACTTATTGTTTCTGAGAGACTTAAGCAAATACTTCCCTTTAAAATCTGTAACTGGGTCATAGAGTCCAGAGAATTAAGAGAGTGTGGAAATTAAATTAAAAGCTCTTCATAGATTAGAGCAAATAAAATTGAAAACCTTATTTAATTGATTTTAAACCCTTCTAGATCAAGCTATTTATTTCCTTCTGTGAAGCTTTTCATACTATATCTACAGATCTAATTCCAGTGATTGATGACTGTGATTAAGTGATAAAAGCATTTTTGTGCACTCTTGACCTCAATCTGTGCTATAGTCTAGGAAGTCTAGCTTCTAATTGCTATCCGTAACTTAAAGGAGGCAGAAAGCATTTTATTCATCTGAAAATATACTCATCTATGATAATGGAAGGATACAATTAAAATCAATTATGTGCTTTTAACATAATGTTGGAAATATTCTCAGATCAGATTTTTAAACCTCCCTACAAGACACTGAAATAGAAATAGATTATTTTAAGAATGACTTGGGTTTCCTGTCCTCTCAGGTGAATAAGTTAGGAAAATGATGAATAGCTTCAAATATTCTTATAACTGCATTAGTACCACGCTGCTTAATCTCCTGCCATATCCTGTTAATTTTGAATAAAAGCATGTAATATACTGGTAGCATGGATACGTTTTTTTTATTAACAACAACCACAAAAGGAGTCTCACTTGTACTTGCAAGTGTGGTGGGGGTTTGAATCCAGACTATAAATATTAACAGGTGAAGACACTACATTCTCCGTGAATTCCTACATGCGCATCTACCTATTATGAATTCTTCTGACTTGAGTCAAAACCTGCATCCTAGAATGCCATATTAGTCCACAGATTTTTCTTCAGGCTACATAAGTACCTGAATTTTTCTTCCTTCTAGTTATGACTGAATTAGAAATTTTGTGAGTATGGAGAATAGTAATAGCCAAAGGAACTTTGCGTAGTTATTTATTGGTTCATCTCTGCTTACTATCTTATCTAAATGTATTCATTTTTTTCACACTTCGGTTTTAAATAGACTGCTTAACCATTTGTTTTCCAAAGGAGATGGTAGTAATTGCCATCTTCTATTGCAAGCGTAATCTCAGGAAGTATGTTTTCAATGAGGTCTTTGCTCGAGAAGAGTGCTTAGACTGGTCAAATAAAGTAAGAGTATGGTTTGAAATATAGTACTTTTCTGGTGATAAACGACAGTAAAGACTGAAAACGGGAGCTCAACAAGAACTGAATATGGCCAGTAGAATGAAGAGCTGGGAGTATAATATACTTTGAGAAAATACCAGTTTTCATGGTATTCACATTTAGTTTTAAAATAATATATATGTTTTGATCCTTTGCATGGCTCCCCATGAAGTTACTTTTATTTGGCAAAATTATTTCTTCCTAAATCATTGTTACTCATGATTCGTTAGAAGGATGGTTGGATAAAGGTCGTCTTTAAAATGCAGGACTGATAAGCAGCCTCTGATTGAGCAAATCTAAAAGATAGAGGCCAGTTCAATTATTCTGAATGTCTGCAGCAAGATATCATTTAGATGTCCCAGCAGTCACTGTAAATTAAATGGCCTAAAACTGCCAGAGTATGAGACGTATGAAATTAAGCAGTAAATATTTAATCCTAATCACAAAGCAGTATGTTAAAAGAAAACTCAGATAAATATATCTTCAGTCTTTCTTTGGCTTTAAGCTTTGCTTGTAGTAATTCGGCCTTATTAAATTTAGCTTTGCTGCACATATAACCTACGGTCAGAAGGCTCCAATCCAGGAAACAACTCTACACTTGCCTGAACATTATTATTCTTCTATTTATTCCCAAAATAAATGCTATTGCTAAATGTAAGATGAATCAGAAATAAAATGTGGGGGTAGATATTCTGATTCTGGTGATACCTATGTATTAAAACCATAAATAATGTAAGGACACAACTGGCAGCTTGTAGGCCAAATCCAGATCTCTGGAGTTTTTCTGCACGCTGCTGGCACTGCAGCCTGCCCAGAGGAGCGGCCAGAAGCGACAAGCTCCTCTTCCCGGGCGGAGGTGGCGTGCCGGGAGGGAGTCTCCTTTGGCAAAGCCCCGGATGCGGGCTAGGGTTGGCAAGGGTCCAGACGGATATGAGCAGCAAACACTTCCTAAGGTTTTGTGAACATTTGCATATATTTTTGGTTTCTGTTTTCCATTAGTGTTCACTGTTTATGTAAGCAAAGTGTAAAATCTTTTGCAGATATTTTATTCCAATGCTTATTTTTTATTTTGTATCGAGTCAAGTGGGAATCGGTAGACGGTGCACTTGAAAAAAAAAAATAAGCTCGTGCACCAAGACAGCCAGTTCCGGTATCTGCAGTGAGCAGTGGAACTCGGAACGCAGCTGGCCTCACGAACTAGGTGGAACTTTAAAACCCTAAGGCCCTTTGTATACGGGTACGTCTGGAAGGCTACAAGTGTACATTGTATTCTGTGTGCATGTATTTTGGGGCTAAACCTGAAGACCGATCCCAACCCCCCAAATTAGCACTTTTTTCCCCTCTATTCAGCAGCTGTGCTGTGAGTCCATTCTTTCCGCATTCTTTCTAAGGATGTGGTCATGAATGCGTGTAAGTTATCTAGTGTATCAACAAATAAGGGTCTGAAAATACATGAGAAAAAAGTCATGTTCGCTCCCTTTTAGTCAAAGAGGAAGAAGAAATCTTGGTTATTTTTATACTTGCTACCCTGCAAATTCTTAATTTTGTTATTGTAAGTAACAACACTGACTCTTAAACAGATTTTAAACTTTTTACGACTTTTCGCAGTTGTGAGGTTAAATCTATGTGTACGTGTTTTGTAGGTATGGTTAACATTTATAGCACAAGTGCTGAGCTGTTTACAGGCGAGCTTGCATTGCTGTTTCAGAATGGACTCTATGGATACAAGTCAGTATTAGTATGAAATGAAGTTTCCTGGTGAACTGAATTTTCCACGTCGACGGTATACGCTAGTAGACCTCCAGCCCTGCTCTGAGTAGGGGTTCTCCAGAGCTCTGCTGCTCTGTCACAGCAGACACCACCTCTCGATTTTTTTTCCTCTCCCCTCTACCAGAAAGCTCTGCTGTTGTACGCTTCTCAGTGTTCAGCATCTATTTAGGGCTTGATGGTTTTTTATTTTCCCTGTTGCCAGTCTTATGTTTCTTTTGTTGATGCAGAAGGATGAAGAAAAGTGATATTTGCCACTTTTATTAATATCTTCCTCTTTCCTCATGATGTTGTTGATGTTCTGTTATTGTTTGTCCATTTTGTGATGTTTTGAAAGTCAAGAAATGCACACTGCCAAGGAAAGGAAATAAAAAAATTACTGTAGTAAATAAACTTGTTGTGTCTAACCATCCACAAGGCTTATAGTTTAGACCTGAACTGTAATTTATACCTACAGTATAATGTGAACTCAAAAATCAAATGCCTTGTAAATAGTTAGCATGTAATCTTTTCCAGCAATTTGAAAAATATGAATTTAAAGAAAACATGTCTAAAATTTTCTCCAAGTTTTAAAAAAAAATGCTAGTGATGTATGATATGATGAATTAGAGAAAGTGAAATGTGCCTACCTCAAGTTGTCACCTAACTTTGTAGTTTCTTAATGATACTAGTATATTGCATAAAATACATAAGATGAATGGGAGCATTTAGTAATTTTGAGTTATGGTTATAAGTTCTCAGATAATGCCTTAAATATTGTAGATCACATCATTTGCTTTTGCCTGGACATTAATTCAGTATATGGTTGCTTCTAACAGTAAAACAGTAAAAAGTAGGTCATTATAAAACTTCAAATCAAATATAGAGCATAGGAGAAAATAAAAGGCCTAATTTGTGTATTTTGCACAGAAGCTCAAGAAATGTGATTATAAGGTTTTGAAGGGAGTGTCAAAACATCCCATTTTACTTTTGATGTATTTTACAGAGAGCAAACTCCTACTTTTTTTTCCCACTGCAAGCTCTGAAGTATTAACTTGGCAGCAGAAAAGAAAACTGATTTACTAAAGTGTCAGAAATGGGGATTTTCTCAAGTAAATGTTTTGCCCTTCTGCAACTCTTTCTCACACGGAAGCAGCAGAAATACGAATAGCATGGGACAGAATTGTTACGAGCAGCAAATTATGTGAGATACAGCGTAGAAACGAAGACATGAAAACACAAGCCTTCCTCGAGAGAAGGCCACTAAGATATGGAAAAACAGCTTGTCGTTCCCCTCTGGAACGACAGTGTGGCCAAGGTCATAGTAAAGAAGGGGTTGTGATGGTTGCCGCCGGGTCTGGGTCCGGCCCCGGACACGCTTCGGCAGCGCCACGGAGCGTAGCCGTCCCCCAGCCGCCCCCGGGAAGCGAGGAGACGTGTCTGTCCCCCCGAGCGCGCTCCCAGGGTAAAGACTGAGACCTGCCAAGGGAGCTGGCTCCCGGTGGGTGAAGTCCTGAAGGTTTTGACGGTTCTGTTGAGAGGGGAAGTGTTACAGTTTCCAGACAACATATAACGCTGTGGGCCATTACGCTGGGCGGATGGATGCCGTGCCGCTGGTTCGGCTCTCCCACCCGCCAACAGACGCCACCTAATTAAATTCTTTAGAAGAGAGACTGTTGCTGTTAGAGCTGGTACTCTGGTTTGTTCCTTTCTTGTTTCAGTATCACGGTCTTTCTCCCTGCCTCTGTTTGTTGTCTGCCTGCAAACAAGTTATTTGATTTGTCTTATTTTTACTGTGGTAGTAGGTTTTTTTGGGTTTTTTTGTTTTTTTTTGCTTTGAAACAACAGAAAACCATACCAATAGAGATTTGAGTTAACCTTAAATTTGTGCAAGAGAAAACTCATGTGTTTAAAAAAAAAAAAAAAATCATTAATGGAGATGATGTGGGGAGAGATTGTTATAAAATAACCAAATGCACTGTCACTTTTTTAAGTAGTGCTTAAGCTGAAGGACCATGGAGGGGTTAATAAAATGCAGATAAATGCACTTGTACTTGTCCCAGAATAAAGTAAGAGTATATCGGGGCTTTTGAGTAGATGGTTAATGAAATGATTCCTGCT